GGATCAGCTGCTGCCTCTCCTGTTTCAGCTCTTCTATCTGGGCCTTCAGCTCAGCGTTCATGAGCTCCAGACGCTCGGACTCCTAGCAGGACAGGAACACAACCGCATGTGACTCCAGCCCAACAGGACAAGATACAAGGAGAAACAATCTGGCCAACAAGCCGTCTGTGGTCAGTGCTGCCTCTCAGCCCCTGCAGCACAGGAGCAGCCTGAAGACCTGCCAGGGCACCAGCTCCCTCCAGGCAGCGCGTCCCCATCCCCGCGTTACCTAGTGCCAGTGCAAGGAAATACACAGCCACCTCCCAGCACAGGTCTCTGCCGCGCCACAGCAAAACCCCTGCCTGGCTGCCTTCCACAGGCTGGAAGGGTGTTTGGAAACAAACCCACATTTAAGCATTCACCCCCCATCTGCAAGGATCTGCCCTTGTGAAAGGACAAGTGACACAGCAGGGGACAAGAAGCCAATGTCCCACCAGCCCTTGCAAAAAAGCAGCAAGGTGCTGCCAGAGTTGTTCTGGCCACAGGTGAGAGGGCATCTGACCTCTGAATGGGGAAACCTTCAGGAATCTAGGCAAGGGGCCAGCAGTGTGCTTGTCCCTGTCCTGTGCCACTCCCACGGGTGCTCCTGCTCCAGCCCTGAGGCAGGGACACCTCTCCCTCAGGCTCAGAGCCCACCTCCAGCCCTCTCCAGCTCGGTATCACAGGCACAGGGATGCCCGTCAGCTCTGCCTGGGCATGCACATGGCCACCGCCTTCACAGCCTCGTGGAAAGCGGGGCAACAGGCCTGTATTTTCCCAGATACGGGCACAGGAGCAAGGGGAGGCAGAGGGGCAGTGCAGGACGGAGCGCTGCCCACAGCTGGGGCACCAGAGGGAGATGCCCCTGCCAAGGTCCCCGCTGTGCCCTGGGACAGGTCAGGGCACTCACCCGCTGCAGGAACTCCGTTCTCTCCTTCTTCTTGTTACGACATCGTGCTGCTGCTACTTTGTTTTTCTCCCGGCGCCTTTTCCTCCTCTCCTCTTCCTCATCCAGCTGCAACAAGACAGAAACTCAGGTCAGAGCCAGCAGGTGTGGGCAGGGCAGCAGGTAGGGGCAAGCACCCAGCAGCCCCACCGGTGGCAGGGCAAGGAGAAGGGTGGCAGCCACCTGTGCCAGTAGCCACCAGCAACCTGGTCTAATCCGTAACAGGAACCAAGTGTGCTGCTGCCACGGCCTCTGACTCCGCTCTGTGGGGACACAGGGAGGGAGACCAGCGTGGCACCCACAGCTGGGGACCCGGCTGGCAGAGGACAGACTCTTTGCAGGGCTGCCCCGAGAGAGGGCAGAGGCAAGGGGAACAGAGCCCCATCCCACAGAGACGGGCACAGTTTGTCACATGGACATCTACAGGCACAGCTCTGTGAGCTCTGTCATTCAAAGAATCACCCATGCAGCCAAGGGCGAGAGGCAGAGAAACCGGGAAGACCCCCCAGCTGGGCCTGGCTGTTTCCCCCTTCCGGTACACAGGACTGTCTGCTGCAGCTATGGCACCAGTCAAGTCACAGGGCCACCACGGTCAGGTGGGGACAGGTCCCGCACCCCCTGTAGAGAAGCAGGACGCAGCAGTGCCTGCGCTGTTCACCATGACTCAGCTGCTCTGTGCTGCCTGACCCAAACCACACAGGCCAGGCCAATAAGCCCTACGGGTTGGAAACCCATAATCAAACTATTTGGAGATATTTACTACAAAGCCTGTGTAAATGGCCTATGGCATGCTTACATCCAAGCACCCCAACCAGCTCCTGCAAGAAAAATCCGAGTGCTGGAAATCCTTGCGAAGTCAGCATCCAGGTTATGCTTTGTAGCATGGCTAGAGAAGAGGAGGCCTCCAGTGCCTTCATCCACATCTGGTCTGGGACCCCGAAATGTGAGATGTCAGACTGAACTGCCTGGTTCCTATCAACTGATACCTGACAGCACAAACCCTTTACAAATGCAATGGCAGCAACATTTGCTTTATGAGCACTTCCACAGCCTATTAGCACCTTCTCTAAGGGTGGTTCCAGTCTGAGAAGGCAGCTTCTGCTTGATTTCAGTTCAGAAAGGTAACATGGCCCTGGCACTGGGGGTCAGAGGCACAAGGGACAGTGACAGTGTATCACCCGGTAGCACGTTTCAGAAGCTGATCTCCAGGGAAGCCCTGCGGGTAAGAAGTCTGGGGTTGCCTCCTGAGTTGCTTCAGTCAGCAGCATCAGGGACAGAGGTGACCAGCCTGAGGGGCAGGGCTCTGCCCCAGAGGGAGCACCCCAAGAAGGTTTCAATAGCAGAGGAGCCCAGCAGCACCTGTCTCCAGCTGCCCCAAGAGGAGGGCAGCCTGGCCACTGCTCAGAAGCCAGCACCTGCCATTCACCAGGCGGGTTTTGTGTGAACTGCCAGGGACAAACACCCCAGTGCCAGGAGATGCTGCTCCCCCCAGCACAGCAAAGAAATCTGCCCGTGCCCCAGCTCGCAGGGAGCTGCCTGCCCTCCCAGGCACCGTGCAGAGCATGGCATGCCGGTACCCAGCGTCCCCAGGCTCTGGCTCCTGTGAGAGGAAAGCAGCTGCAGGCTGCATTGCAAAATTATGCGTGGGCAGCTTCTTGGCTCCTCTTGGGATAAGCAGCTACTGCTTCAGCTCCCCCGGGCTTTTGCTGCAAAGCCTGTGCCAGGGGCAGCTCCATTTGCTGTCCTCAACTCCTCGGCTTCACAGGGCAGGCAGGGGAGGAACCAGCCACAGGGAAGGCAGGCGCACAGGGGCTGCCAGTGGATCTCTCCTTATCTTTCCTCCACACGGTGTCTCAACAACTGGCTCAGAGGACACTCAGCACTCCCAGTACCTGCTGCAGGGCAGAACTGCCCTCTCCCTGTTATGCAAAGGCCAATGAGAGCACATCCCCATGCCCACTGAGCTGTTGTAGGGATAGCTCAGAGGTGCCCAAGACACCCCAGGAAAGGAGCTGTGCCCAGGAAGACAGCACAGCTACAGATTCCCTCTTTCTTCCCCAACCCACGAGCGAGGCGGTCACTGCACCCCGTTTGCTGCATGGTACCCAGGCCAAGAGCTTGGGACAGCATTTGGCTTCAGCTGCCAACCCATGACTGCTTTCCCCATAGAGGGACCAAAGCCATTAGCATCCCCGAGGCTTTTACGATGGCCTCATGCAGCATCCTAGCCTCAGCTCCTGCCACTGCGGAGCTGCCCTGTCCTTCCCCAGGTGAGCTCCAGGTGCTGCACGAGCTGATCGGACACCCCTTGGGCACAGAGTTCCTGTGCAAGGTGATCAGATGGACTCCACAGCAAGGGGCTGGGGGGAAGGAACAGGCACCCTCCCAGAGGTGGGCCTGGGTGCTGCTGAGCTTTTGCCATAACAGTTGGGCCAAACCAAGTGTCAGCACTGTTTGGAGAGTGAGCTGCTCCCTGGAACTGGTCTTCTACCCCTTTCAGCTCACAGCTCATCAAGGGCAGCTTTTCATATCTAGCACCTTCTCGCTGACATCTCCAGAGAATGCACATCACCTCATCCTCACACGGCATCATCTGAGGTATCCTCACGCAGGAGCAAATGCACCGTTCAGAAGGGTTGTTTACCAAACCTTCTGACAACAGCCACAACCCTCACCAACGCGGGGCCTTCAAACTCATGGGTTCCCAGCTCCATCTGCAGGCAGTGGGAGGTGCAAATGCTCACCACCAGTACAGCAAGTGTCAAGCAGTCCATCAAGTATCAAGCAGTCACAGACTGAACAACCAACACGAGACAACCACACAAGGAAAATGCTGTGCAAGTGTCTCCCAAGCCCCTGCAGCCCGGTCCGGACTTGCCAGCCTGTGATACCAAGCAGAAGCCACCCACCATCCTCAACCCAGGAGCCCCGAGGTGAAGCTAGGGTCCCCCCCAAGCAGCAAGGCAAGGGTAGCCCCAGCCAGCAGCACAAGTCAAGTCACTGCTGCCACTCAGCACCGCTCGCCCACGCGCCTCGTCCCTGTAGGAAACGCAGCACCAACACCAGCAGCACCAAGGGCTCGCTGGCACCAGAGATGGGATGAAAGCATCGCGCAAGCCCTCTGAAGGGCTGTACAGCTTCTCTTTCGGGTGCGTGCCCCAACCTAGGGACACATTGGCTGCATCAGACCCCACTCCACAGGCAGGGTTTGAGTTCAGCCAGATGCCAAAGGCTGTGTGGGACCGGTCAGGCCCGGGACACCAAGGCCACCACTCCTAGCCCATGCCCCAGGGACAGAAATTCAGGCACGGGGAAGATGCAGCCGGTGGAGCAGCTGCCAACACACGTGCACATCACCAAACAGGTAGTGTGACACGCTTATAAAACACGTTGCTGGCCACCCTGGCAGGAAACCCAAGCATGGGCAGGAGGGAAAGCCAGGCAGGTGCAGGCAACGGCCCTGCAGGGCGATCTGCAGCCAGCAGCCCTCGAGACTCACCTCACTTTTCACAGGCTGGGGTCTCTTTCCAAGCTTCACCTCCAGGAAATGGAGCGGTGAGATCATGGCCCCGATGTTGCGGATGTCGGCGTACTTCAGCTCCTCGGCGGTCAGGGCTGTGCCAGGCAGTCCCGTCAAGGGGCCAAGCCCAGGCAGCGTGCCGGCCGTCAGGGACGGGTCGGGGATCTGCCCTGGCATCATAGCAGGGGAAACAGCTTCGTAGGCTGGAGGGAGAGTGAGACACGGCCCGTTACAACCCAGTTACAGGGCCCCATGACACGACACAAGCCAAATTTGTTCTACAGTCCCATCACCTAATGAGGTGTGAACGAGGGAGAGCAGCTGCTCTTCCCCAAGGATGGCAAAGGCAAGGACTAAGCAGACCTGGGTAAAAGAAACCAAAATATACAAACCCTGCTAGGAAGGATGCACTATTGGTGTGTCGATCAGGAAGGGAAGAGACCTGAGATGCAAAGCACCAGAAGAACAGGAGCTGGCTGCAATGACAGTGATGTGGTCCCATGGACTACTGGTTTTGGCACATCTTTCTCTGGAGTGCAGAAGACCAAGGTTTGCCCTTAACTGAGTTTTGATTAATGTGTAGGTTAGTAGTACAAGAAGAAAATGGCACAAAGAGGACCATAATATGCCTTAGGCTGGATTTCTTCTGGGCAGGCTCAGCCTGCTGGTCATGGGTGGAACACGGCACACGGGGACCAGGGATAAAACTGTGAGAAAAACCTGCCACTGAACAAACACCTCCCAGCACAGACTAAGGGAAGGCTGGAGAGGAGAGGAAAGGTGCAAAAGGCTTATTCTATCAGGAAAGAAAAAATTGCAACACAAGTGATAATAGGATCGGGACAAGCTTTGGCAAGCCACTTGCAGGCAGAAGAAAGGGAGTTACCATGAAAGGCAAAGAACAACAGGCTAAGAAATAAAATTGTACCTAAAATGAGAAGCCCATAGAGCTGGAGCTGTTATGTCAGCCAAAAACGAAAGGGAGCAGGTGGTTGTTACCTACAGCACAAGTACATCCCTGCTTGTGTAACTGGCCTGGGACACTCACAAGTGACTGAGTTACAATATGCAGAGTCAACTTCTGTCCACACAGCAACCACCTTTTTCCCTCCCTCAACTCAATCACGTGTCCCACTGCTCGTGCACTGCTCTCCTTGCCTTGCCCAGGCAGTCCAGCCCCAGCACGCTCCAGGAGCCTCCAGCATCCACCTCACTCTGCCTCCACACCAGGTGGCACCCACACAGCGGGGAGAGGAACCAGCAATATCAGGAGAGAGAAACAGTCTAATGGAGTAGACCCAAAATCTCACTGAGCAGCTTCCTGCAACCACTAGAGCCAGTCACAAGGCAGGATTCAACAAGCAGTTGGGCAAACTCATGGCAGAGGGGTCTACAAAGGACCATCAGTCACATCAGTCTGCACAAACTCCTGGAAGCTCTGCCAGCACCAACTGCCAAAGCGAGGAGGTGCACTAAGCAAGGAATAACATGCACTTGCCCTGCTCTCTCCAAAGCATCCACTCAGAGACCTGGTAACAGGCGATGTAGACTTTTGGTCCAGGCAGTACAACTGTGCTAAGCAAAGGCACACACAGTCAGGTCAGCTGCCACAGCGCTCAGCACTTGCCATCCTAGGATGACAAATCTATGGCAGTACCAGGCTGAAAACTTTAGTAAAGCTGCATGTGAGATAGGACTGTTGGATCAGAGACACAGAACAGTTGAGGTGGGGAGGGACCTCTGGAGATTGCCAGGTGCAAGCTTCCTGCTCAAGCAGGGTCAGTGGGAGCAGGTTGAACAGGGTTAATCACGACAAGCAGAGAAGTTAAGGATTTCTTGGCACTGGTGCATCTCTTTACCCAGAAGATTATTTGGTGTATTTATTTGTTAATGCGAAGGAAGAGGAGATGAACAGCAGAAGGGAAGGAAAGTCAATCATAGAGGTTAGTCAAAGGTAGAGGGGTTAATGCAAGTTCCACAGCTCCCAGCACGGGTGCTATGCAAGCCATACTGGCATGACAGACGAGGGGATCTGCATCAGAGAGCAGCTACAAGCTGCAATGTGCTGTGAGCTGTCATACACTCTAATCTGCCACCAAAGAGGTCCAGGTGTTAGCATGAGACGTCCCCTGGCAGAGTTTGCTCAGACAACAGCAGCAGTGACCAACAGGACTTGAGAAAGGGCATGGAAAGCAAATGCAGCAAGACTGTGACCGTAAAGAGGAGGCCAGCAGGGATCAAGCCCTCTGCTCTGGTCATCCTTCAGGAGGAGAGACCAGAAAGGAGAGAGCAGACCAGCGCTCAGCAGTGCTGGTATGCAGGGGGGAAGAAGCTGGGCCCCAGGGAGGTCATCTGCACAAGGACATTAAAGCCGGAAAGGGAGAAGATGGGAAAAACAGGAGAGATTAATAACTTCTGAAGGGAAGTGATACTACCTGATCCTGCCCATTTAGTGACAGGAGAGAAAGAGAAAATAACTTGGTAATGATATTTAACCTCAGAAAAGACTGCTCATCAACTCATTGAGATTGCAAGGACCTAAACTGATCCAAAGAATTCATTCTTTCACAGCAAGCTCTAAACCAGACAGCTGCAATTCCACATCTGCAGTGGTTGCCTTGTACCGTGTCAGGAGATGCCTGCTCACAGCAGGGCTCTGAAGCTGCACGCTACCTCCCTCCCTCCCTTTCCTTGCAGGCCTATGCACAGCTAAGATGCTTCTCTCCTCCAGAAACCAGGCACCATCCCACCCTAGACTGCACTCCAGACGGAAAATTCCAAAAGTTATTTGGGGACTGTGCCTAAATCCCTACCATCTTCCTCAGAGACTGCCCCCTCCAGCAGGAAAGCACTGGGTTAGTGAGGTGGCACGGCAAAGGGGAGGTGACTCCAGAGGCTCTTCCCAGGACGTGCTGCCACAGGACACAGCTGCCTGGAGTTAAATTCAGTCTGCCATTTTGGGATAGCTGCACATGTTGCTGAGCTAGCCATTTCCCACCCACTGCCACTATGGTGACATGCTGCGGCACTGGGGAAGCGGCCTGCAAACAGCAGCACACACTGGGCCCGCTGCTGCACACCCCCTCACCAGCAACCCCATAGATGTCCATCCCCAGTTTGAAAAGTCTGGGCTTAAGTAAAAATAAAAACAAAAAAATAATGGTAGCTAAAGTATATGAACACCCTCTTGAAGTCTTCCTCCTGCAAACACCACGTGTGAGGTGCTATGGCACACACTGATGCGGGGCCCTGACCCACCCGGTCACAGGCTTCAGGCTGGGCACTGACTTGAGCCCAGCACTGGATGCCTAAATCTATTCTGGACTTGGGGGACCCAGTTTTAATTTGTTGTCTTCCATCACGACATGCAGCTGACAGCACCCAGGCACAGGACTGGACAGTCCAGGTCCTCAGTTAGACCAAATTCAGGGTCACTGCAATTTATAAAACAAGGAGAAATTCATTTTCCAGATTGTGGGACTACCTGGCCACCAAGCACCCCCCTGCACTCTTGAGCATGGAGCAGCTCCCCAGGGACAACTGGCTAAAGATCTAAGAAAACACGATGTTTTCTCTGGGCCACCTTTTCCCTCTATGTCTTTGATCTAGTAGCTTAATACACCTTGAAATAGCCTCTGTACCAGTGTGACATCAGGCACAGGTCTGAGTGAAGGAGCTGGTTCAGTACCTGACAGTTTCAGTTTAAAAAAAAAAAAAAAAACTTATCCTGGCTCCCAGGACTGCACTGCCTAAGCCCACATCACACCTGCATCAGTGTAAACTAAATCTAAAGCTGTTCAAACCAAAGCACCAGGAGCCACCTGGAAGAACATGAACCTGCACAATAAGATGAGCTGAGAACTGGGTGGGAAGGGGGAAGTGACTTTCACGAGCAAGATGTTGCTCAGGGGTCTGGACACTCAGGAGCACATTGAGAACTGCCAAGAGTCAAGCTGAGTTAGACCTTGGAGAAGAGTGTAAAACCATTCCCAGCAGGGCTACAACCACAGAAATCAGAAGGGAACAAGGAGAGGTGCCATCCTTCTCTGCAGAGCAGGGGTGCAGTGACAGATCATCCCACCCAGCCCTCGATGCCCCTCAGCCCCAGGCACTGTCACTCCCTGCTGACTGGAGGGACTCTCTTGTTGCACAACTTTTGCCTCTTCCTCCTGGAAGAGAGGCTTTCTTTTCATGCCAAGTCCCAGATACTTTCGCCTTCTTTCTCTGGTTAACGCTAGAGGTAAGAAGCTATACTTTGATCGTGTCAGAAAAGCCAAGGCATGTAGTTCTATTTAATACTTTGGTCTTCTTCCCAAGGCCATTACCCTGGAAGACACTGACATGCCTGCCTATAGCTCCAGCATATTTCTGCCATGTCTGCGTGGTAGGACAGCAATAACTTTGAAGTTCAAGATCCGAGTTTGACCTTTAAGTTGCAGTTTTTCAATAGCCATGTCTTGCTAGATGGGGTGAATACAGCTGGTGCCTTGCCAGTTCCTAATTTCTTTCTGGATAGTCCCCTGCAGTGTTTGTTATTTCTAAGGCACATGAACCAACTCACCTCTGTACTCCTTCCCTTTCTAACACAGTGCTTTAGCTGGGATTCTTATTAGATTTTTTTTCTTTTCATAACTGATTATTAACACAGTCTTTTTTCCCCCCTCAATGCCAGGCAGTCTTTCAATGCATACTCACACAAGCTGAGAAACATTATGTCTTCAGTAAAACCTAGCATTCTGGTGTCCTATGGCTGAACCACACAAATCCTGCATTGTATCAGCTATGCTTTTTCACAAAATGAAGCCAACAGCAAAGCAAAGCAGCGAGGGAAAAGAGAATGTGCAGTCTTACATCTGACACTGGGATCTGCATGACACCAGCGGCTCAAGTTTACATTCACCATAGCTGTGCCTTCTGCACTGATGCTATTCATCATTTCGTGCCATGACATCAAGATGCTCCAGGATGAATTAGGAGACAGAGAAGGCTTTCTTAAAACTTCAGTTCAGCGATGGGCAGCTTGTGTCATTCAATGCTCTCTTCAGCAACTATCCTTACAGCAAAAACCTGGTCAACATGTGATTTCATGGGTCAAAATTCAGTTTGCATTTCCTTAGCTTTCCCTCTACACCCCCCTTGTTCTGCTTAAAATGCTGTAACATAAGACTTGACCTCTTGCT